TCTGTGCCATTTTCCCCACCTTATTCCAAGCTAAGGTGTTGGATCTACATTCATGGTGATTCCCCTGGGCAGCACTAAATTTACTTTCAGGTAATTTTTTTACTTAGGTAAAGAAGTGGATGGGTGTATTAAGTCAGTACTGTACTAACATTTCTCCACTCATTTTTATTTAAACATTTCAATTTATTTAAACTAATTTCTGTTGAAATCCTAAAAATCACCAAGGGAACCAAATTAATACTGGGAACCAGAATATCTGTAAAATGAATAGGAGATGAATTTAGCTTGAAGGTTTAAACATCCCTTTTATTAACATCCATATTACATGTAGCAATGTGGGAAACGTGAACAATTTGGGAAACGTGAACAATTTTGACTGCATACTTTCACATGGAGAGACAGTCTTTTCCCTTTTGCCAATCCATTTTACCATTGAAGCATCTGACTTAGAGGAGGTTAGCTGAATGTCTCAGTGTGGTGACTTTAAACGGTCTTTGTATGAGTACTTTGAACAGTGCTAATAACAATGGTTTCTGGCAATTGCAAAATGGGATCTGACCAATTTTAGTAAAATAGTGGCACTGGAGCCACAGAGCTTATTTTTGAAATAGTGTTTCAGTTTGAACTGAGTTAAAGCGATCATTTTAAAGAAACAGTTTTTCACCTCACTGTAAATGATAGACAGCTACTAGACGAGGTAATGATCTGTCTTCATGTTTGATGCCTCCTTTTATCAGTCCAAGGTTTTTCACTGAGTCAGATCTATTGATTAGCATTAGTCTACTTTCCAGGAAACTCGTTTTGCATTGAATGTCACACCCTAAGTATACTAAATATATGCCAAGAGAGTGCTTGAACTCTGTTGAACGCTGCCTGGTAAATTATATGTTTGCAGAGTGTTTTTAGTAAGTGTAATAGGTATGAGCCCCTCAAGTGTTAACTGAGGTCATCTTTCCCTTGTAGCAGTGTGGAGAATATGATGGATCAAATAGAAGATAGGCACTGTACATTTACCAGTATTTTCTAGGATGCAGGTAATGGCGTGCATGTGATATATCTAGTGGCACATAGTAATAACTTGTGGAAGAAATATAATTTCTACTCCAAATCAGCCAACGTAATTTACTTAGAAAATTTAAATGAGGGTGAAAAATAAAGAAAGCTTGCTTCATTTGTCACAAATCAAGTATTGTCAGTTCAGAAACCCTGGAAAGTTGGGTGTTCTCTGGGTGTATTTTTACAAACCTCTCTGTGTTTTGAGGCAGTGTTTGATGGGGTTCAGGTGCTACTCTTTAAATAAACTTGGGTCACTTCTAAAGCAGAAGGTGAAGTACAATGCTTCTGAGTAATTATGTTAATTATACTGATGGGGGCTAGATAGGAATTAATTGAGACCTTGGGGAGATGAGAGGAAGACTGGACTTATATTCTATGACTGTGGTTGCCTATTGGTTGAGGGTTTTTTAATTTATAATAAAGGCATTTTAAAAAATAACTTGAATGGTGGGAGAATTGACTTATCCCCAAAAGTGAAATTGTTAAGGAATCTTGAGTTAAATCAAAACTCTTTTATTATATTCTTTTGTTTAGATGATAATGTGCACATTTGATTCAAAATATGCCCTTGTGCTCATTTTGCTGAAGGACCCCTGGACTCTGCCTAAAAGTCCTGCTCTGTTGGCATCATTGATTAGGAACACAGTCAATATATATTATTAATGCCATTCACGGTGCATTTTTCCACGGAATTCTATCCATTTCAATAAGAATGGCATAGGAGTGCTTCCTCCTTGGATTGTTAGTCCCTTGGTTTTCATTAGATATAGTCTGGAGACTTTGGCATTTAATCATGACTTTTGCATTGTTGGTCTCTTTCTCTCTGTTCGTCACTCCCACTTAAGGGCTCAGAATGGAATTTTGAATCAGATGAAGAAAACAATCACTATTCCTAAAAAAATTCTAATTCTGTTTAGGTCAAACAATCACCCACTTTCCCATTTTCCCATAACCAGTGTACTGGTTACATCCTTCTTTGTACTCATTCACTTCTGCTATGATTTCATAGAATCATAGAATTGGAAGGGTCACCTAGTCCAGTGTTTCCCAACCTTGGGCCTCCAGCTGTTTTTGAACTACAATTCCCATCATCCCTGACCACTGGTCTTGCTAGCTAGGGATGATGGGAGTTGTAGTCCAAAAACAGCTGGAGGCCCAAGGTTGGGAAACACGGAGTCCTAGTCCAACTCCCTGCAATGCAGGAATTTCAACTAAAGCCTCCATGACAGATGGCCATCCAACCTCTGCTTAAAAACATTCAGTGAGGAGAGTCCACCAACTTCTGAGGATGTCCATTCCACTGTTTAACAGCTCTTACAGTCAAAAAGTTCTTCCTGATGTTTAATCACAATCTCCTTTATTGTAACTTGAATTCATTGGTTTGGGTCCTAGCCTCTGGAGCAGGAGCAGGCGAAGACAAGCTTGTGGTCTACTAGGACCCCTAAACCCTTTTCACATGTACTACTGGTAAGCCAAGTGTCTCCCATCTTATATTTTTGCAGCTGGTTATTCCTAAGTGTAGAAGCTTACATTTGTCTTTATCAAAATTCATTTTGTTAGTTTTGGCCCAGGTCTCCAATCTGTTATGGTCATCTTGACTCCAGATTCTGTCTTCCGTGGTATTAGCTACCCATTCCCATTTGGCGTCATCTGCATATTTGATGAGCTTCCTCTCATCAACTGAGGGCTTCTAGAGTGGTTTTACTGTGCAAACTAGCCTCCAAACAGAAGAACTGTAGAGTGGGAAAAGATAATTATATTGTATTTTGAATGTTATCTCATTCTAAGAAGAGAGGGAGTTTTTGTATTATCTACAGTTTATATACATTTATATCATAAAGGTGTTGTGCAATTTTAACTATAATTTCCGCTATGGTAGATGGCATTTTTCCCACATGGTACTGATTAGAAATACTCCAAATACTCTCATGCGTGCTGACTGCTTTTCTTTGCTCATATCAGTGCTATATAATATAATCAGATGCTGACTTCTTCTCAGGTGAGTGTACCAGTTTGATTATGTATGCTAAATGAAGGACAAGAAGAGGGATAGTGTTTCTTCTGCTCTCTTATCTGAAAACCCTGGCATTAACTTGGTAGAATAAAAACGATATCATGTGGGAGGCTCCTGGAGCGATTTTACTGTGCAAGCACTAGCCTCCAAACAGAAGAACTGGAGAAGGGGAAAAGGGAATACAAAGCAGAAATGTAAAACCCACAGAAATAGGAAGAGATTTCACAATATTCCATTCCTGCTTTCTTTTTAAAAAGCCATTTATATATCCTGCACTTAACAAATGTGGAAATTTCTACTTTGTTATCTTTCCTGTCAGTTGAAATTTCACTAAATACTTGCAGTAGGGTTGTGTCGGCATAAAACTCCCTGAATGTCTTTAAGGTACTGCACTGAAAAATTCAGCCTTTGCCATGCCACTTCTCTACCAATCCTGATCTTCACAAGAGCTTTCTGGCAATGGTGCAGGTGCCATGATAGCACAAGGACAGCCCTGCTCTATGAAACCCAAGACCCAGCTAGTCCTGCAGTGTGATCTTAACAGTGGCCAACCAAATGCCTACAGGAAGCACACAATCAGGACACGAGTGCAGTAACACTTTCCCACTCATGTTCCTTAGCAACTGATACTCAGAAGGCATTATTGCTAGTAGCTATTGATAGCCTTATCTTCCATGAATTTGCCTAACCCATTTTTAAAGCCATCTAGGTTGGCAGCTATCACTTGGGCACCAGGTGCCTGGCTCTCAGTATAGTTATAGAACAACAATTTATGGTGCTCTGTGGCCAATCCTAATGCTTACTTGTCTGTACAGAAGCTCAAAAGATCAGTCCATTAGATAATCTGTAAAAATGTCTTAAACCTTAAAAAAGATAAAAGATAATACTATTTGACTTATTAAACTAATTGTAACATTGTATTCTTTCTTGTTATGCTTCGTGCATTATTGTTGCAAACAAGAGTGCTTCCTCTAGTTTTCACAGAACAAAGTCTTAATATTAAATATAATGAGTAATAGTTCTCATTAACTGTGATATAAAACATTACGTTCTCAGATCTCTGGTCCACGTACTCTTCTGTTCTTTCTTCAAAATGAAGATGAACACATCTAACCAATGAAGGTTTTTACTCCTTGGTAGAGAGGTCCACAACAGTGTCACAATACACAATAACCTTATAAATTGTCACTTGTCAACAGAATGATTGAGTACATGTAACTATAGTCCAGATGCGCTAACAAGGATTGCAGCCACATCAAACAATGTGCTTTTTTGCATATTCATATATGGGCCTCCAAATGTGTAGATATATTTTGTTTTTGTGTGCATGTTCTTGAGCGTTTTCCAGTGTAAATACCTAAATTGTCATGTGGAATTGAACTAATTTTCTAGCGAATGGTGCAGCGCTCCCAGGATTCAGAGACATAAGAAGTGGAGGGCAGTTGTATCTTTTACAATGGCACCTCTGGTTGCAAATGGAATCTGTTCCGGAGGCCCATCCGCAACATGAAAAGCCCGCAACCTGAAGCACCATATCTGTGCAGGTGCGCAGCATGATTTGGCGTTTGTGCGCATGCACAAAGCGCGATTTAGCGCTGCTGCGCATGCACGAGCAGCGAAACCCAGAAGTAACCCTTTCCGGTACTTCCGGGTCACCGTGGGATGCAACCTAAAAAAAGTAACATGAAGCAAACATAACATGAAATATGACTGTATAACTTATTCACACTTTCTCTCTGTCCTCAGTATGAACTTTTCTAGCTACTTACCAAACAGATGATGTGAGCTCAAAAGAGTCTGCTTAAACCACTGCAACATACTTGCAGCATACCCTGTTATAGATCATACATACTCCAGATAAGGAGATCCGTATGTGTTTTGCTTCCTAGATTAAAACAACTGCATTGTAAATCAGGTGTATAAGATCTTTATTTGTCCATACCACACAGCTGTCAGTTAGATGCACATCCATATGCACATTCTGGAGCACCTAACAATACCCATCTAGAGCTGGATTAAAATGTGGATGTAAACATAGTCTTTGGATAGTCTCAAGGATAACTGTTTTTTTATTTTCTTTTTATTCAACAACATTTATATACTGCTTGATTGAAAATAAACCTCTACATGGTTTACATTAAATCAAAACATTAAAATTATTGGAAAAAACAGGTATTTAGAAATATACAAAGGCGTATTTACATACTTTATGAATAATATAATAGTACTAATATAATAGTAGCACTTTGAATGTGACCTGGTAGCAAATGGGCAAGCAGTAACAATACTCAGTAATATCTAGCAAATAACACATTGGCTGGCACTCTCAGTTTACCAAGGAAATCAAATGTTTCTCACAGCAGCAGCATGGATATGGAAGATCCTTCTGTTTTCCATTTGGTTGCTATATCATATGCTTGTAGCATTCTCTCATGATAAAGTAACTGTTTTATAGTAAGTGAAAAAGAGGGTTTGGAGAGGGGGGCATGGGTTATAAGGGAATGATAATGATATCAATTCATAAACTGTTACTAAAACATCTGGCATAGTTTTTTTGAAAAAGATTTTGGATTACTGTTCTAAGAAATTAATTCATTTTTTGTATTAAAAAAAACTTTAGTTTTCCAAATAACATTTTTTTTCCTGAAGGGCATAACATGTTGGCAGTCACTCAATGTGTTGGTGATATATTACCTTAGGAGGAGATTTATGTATGTTTCAAATAATTCTCTAGACATCTTGTAGCTCTAGTTTGAAACAAAGTAAATCATAACCCAGAGCATGTTTGTTTGTTTGTTTGTGTATGTTTAACCACATCATTTCTCCCACATGAAGCCAATGAACTGCATCACTTTTTGTAAATTTTAATGTTTTTCTTCCTCTTTGCATAAAACAGAAGGAACCTGCAATTTTAGGAGTTGTGTATGTGTTGGTACTCCTACAAGTTTTGGGGTGAAAGTTGTGTGTTTGCAGGAATATGTATATCCTTAAGCACATGCTTAAAACCAAGTTGATTACCTTATTGAGTGTCTCTGAAAGCATTGTAACATTAGTTTTCAACATTTTCAATAGACTAACCATATAGTAGTGCTCCATATGTTTGATTACTTTGCTTTCCTATACATTTACTGTAATTATGGAGCTGGCAGTGGGCCAGGATGTCCTTCCCTTGGCCTTTGCAGCTACAGAGCAACTGACCAACCGTTGCAGCAGAGCTCTTTCCGGAAGGGACTGGTTCCTAGTTGTGGTCCTCTGGCCATTGATGGGGGCCAAATTGATTTTCTTCTTGCTGCAAGGCAAGTGGATATGTTATCCCAAGTGTTCATTTTCAATCTTTTAATGGATGTATTAGAAAGCTCAAAATATTTAGAATGAAAGACTGTGGGAAAGAAATGCTGAATAAATGTTTCATTGCAACAGCTGAAGTTTTGCCATTGATTCCATGGAATTTTCAATAAAGATACTTTGAGTCAAACAGTCTTTAGGTCTCATCTCCACATTTAATTCTACAGATTCAGAAGCATGAGGGCATGTTGCTATCTGTGTATATGTGATAATATAGAATGCTTCCCAGAGACACAGAGCCCTGAAACTTAGTATACATTTACCAAATTGGATATTTTTAAACTTAAATTTAAAAATCTGCTATAGCAATAGTAGTCTAAAGGGAAGACATTTGTACATTTCATGTTCAAAATGGGGCTCATAGCATGTCCCCAAGTGAGGGTACTTCCTAGCTCCCCATAAACATGATCATTGGCATATGCATTATCCAAGATACCCTGATTACTTGAAAAGCTTTAAAGTCTCTCCCTTTAAATGGTAGGGAGGGCAAGCAAGAAACGTATTTCAAAATGTTTAAAAAGACTTCCAATGAATGTTTACTAATAAAGTTTCAAAATGGGGCACCTTTATATCAAACTGTCAAAACAAATGGCACAAAGTTTTCCTCATAGTAGCAGCCTTTCTTCCAACATAGAAGAACAGAATAAGGCTCATGTTAGGAAACAATGAGGCATCAGGATTTTTCCACTGTACCTTTACTCTGCCGGCACCTGCCTCTTTTTCTTCAACTTTCCCCCTTTGGAAAAGTTCATGGAATGCGGCACTCAAGAAAATGTTTTACAGATATTTTATAAATATATTAAAGAAAGAAGCTTTCAACTTGTAGGAAGGCACTTGTGAATTATAGAGACATTGGAGAGAAGCCAGCTGTCTGATCCAAATATACCAAGGTATTGTAGAAAGAGGACTTGGAGCAAGTACATCACCAGTAATACACTGGCAAGATGTAACACCACTGACGCCCACATGTTCTAAAACAATACAAAAAAATACTATTATGTTAGGAAAAGTTAACATTAGTCCCAAGGAATCCTGGAAATTATAAGCCAGAAATAAGTTACTGGCTGGTTTGTAGAAACAGACAGGTTGAACCCTTTGATAAGCACAGTGTGTTATTTATGGCCATTTTTGAACCATATATCTGCTTAATAAGTTGAAATAGGTAAGAGCCCTTTACCTGTTGCATACAACCCCTTTGTTTTTCACTTTGCAGTGGTAATTATTTATTTTATAAAAGTGTTTAGATAGCCCGCTTGCATAAAATATCAGAACAGTATGCAGCAATATAAAAACATAGGGAACTATTAAAAGGGGTACAGAAAAATAATTAAATGCACAGGCCTGTTGGCATTAAAAAGTCTTCAAGAGACACCTGAAAGTCAGAAGTGACAATGCCTGCTGAATCTCTGCTGATAGAGTGTACCACAGCAAGGAAGTGGTGATACTAAATGTCCAACTACTGTATTAGGCCAGTCCGGGCTCTGTAACACAGGGGACAACAATGAATAAGCAAACCAGGAAATCTCTAATTAACCATAGTTTCCAGTTCCCACAAGCTAGGATATTAAATCAACTGAAACAGGAAAATCTACTTAATTAGAAGCTTTCTTTTTTGACTGTGGCTTTCTTAGTGGCACAAGCAAAGCAGCTGCATGCATAGGCAAGATCAAGTTATTAAGTTGAGGTATGTGTCCAAGCACAAACTAACATCAATATTATATTCTGTTTCTGATCTTCAGGGCCCAGTACTTGAAATTATGTGGCCCAAGCAGCTCATGTACAAGAGGTATCATCTGACTTGGGATCCCTGAGTTTGCAGAAGTACAAATATGCTAAGATATGGGGATCCCTATGCGGGTGAAGCATTACCCATAGCTTGGTGATTTCCACTGCCACTGAATGTGAAAGTGGGGGTAACTCAACAGGCTAGGAGATGAAAGTTAAATTCAGACATGATTTGAATGTAGTGTGTCTATCCCCAACCCATCTCAAAAAATCCCGGGAGGTAGTAGCATACAGAAGAGGCCCTGCTCTTTCAATTTCAGCTATTTAGTGTGAAACTTCTTTTTAATAGCCCTACTAATGCAAATGGAATTTAATTGTCTCCAAATTGCATGTTGGAAGGGCCATTGCTGGAAGAGACATGCAATGTGGCTCTGCAGTAGCCTTCACACTGAGGCTCTGAGTGGTTTACTACCATCATGCAGGGGTTTCCAGCATTATTTTACCCCCTGCTGCAAGTTGCAAGTTGACTGAAACTGAGAGGGTACAACAAGCTTACAGTATTATCTGTTGCTTTTATCCCAAAATTGTTGGTTGCAAATGTAGCATACAACAATTCTGCAGTGTATTTCACTGTTAGGTCCCTGTTTGAGGGTTGTTCTGAAAGTAGTCTTCAAATGGGTTGGGTTAAACTGACTGAGTACACTTTTACATGCTCAAAAATGTAACAAAATAAATTTTACCCATTAAGGAAGACCCACGTTAGAGCAGGGTCTTATGTCTTTGATGCTGCTTTTTGATTTTAAGCCCCCTGAAACACAGACAACATGTGCATAGCAACACTGAACAGAAACATTTGTTGCATGTAGAGGATATCCACTAACCTTTAAATAGATCTGCTTCCCTTGTAACATTTTTTTTCTTTTACAGAAAGTGTTCCTATGCATTTTATTAGATTTCAGTTCCTCCAAGAGTGAAGCCAACATGTTTGTCAAACCATACCTTTCCAGCATGGATCTCATTTAGATTACTCCATTAACTAGATTTGTCCCCAATTTAAGCTGTGCATTAGCAAGTGATGATATTAGTATGGGCACTCTGCTAATGACAGTTTTATTCAGTGATGAGGGAACAAGAATGCTAGGCAGTGCTCTGCTAATCACATAAAGTGTTTGCCTAGGTGGCTGTCTCTAGACCCAGTCCTTTTTATATGCTCCTAGTGATTTATTTGCTTGGTATTTAAATATTAAATTGTGTCAAATGAAACTTGAACAAGAGAAGTCTTATGAAGATTTCTGTGTAGTAGTATTCTGTCCTTTAGTGGGAGCATCTAATAAGAAAATGGGGATCATAGTCCTTTGTCTCCCCATCACCAGCAATGTCCCTGTTCCACTTTTGGGGCTACTTTGCCTCCTCTCAGATTCCTATACACCACCAATAGCATGCATGCCTATCATGTGCTGGTTCCTTTTGCCTGGTGCTTGAGCTCAGAGTTGCTCTGAAAACAGGAGACTGGATAGCATTTGCTGGAAGAGTGTTTCCCGGTCAGAAACCACATGTTACACGCTGGAAACTGCAGTACTCTCTCAGCCAAGTTTATTAATAAAGTTGCAATCATATGTCTAGATAATGAACTATCCCTCAGAATACATTTTTATAGTTCCACTAGTTAACCATATCTGTGCTTCACCAAACAGGGCAGGGTGGGGAATCTGCGGCTCTCCAGATGGTGTGTGCTCCAACTCTCACCAGCCCCAGCTAGCATAGCATGCTCAATGGTCAGGGTTGATAAGATTTGCAATCCAGCAATATATGGAGGCCATAGGTTAGCCCCCCCCCAAAAAAAAATTTAGGGTGTTTTTTCTGTTTTGACTATTGTGATATTAGTTTTAAGTGCAATAATTTAGTAGTGCTTTTGTTCCACTCCTGGTAGCCACTGTAATCATTGACATTGACCAGAGTCTAACCATACTTAACCAGAGCCTAATATGCTGTTTACATGCAGTAGCCAATTTACATACTGAGAATACTCAGCAATATAAGCAAGTGAAACGTGAAACAAAATGTCACATTGCATCTTCAGGCTCAGGCGGGCACCAGTGACTAAAATTTATCTGTCTTGCCTTCAAGTCAGGAGAGCAGGGAGATGTCTTTCATGGGTGTCCATGTGTGACAGTTTTGTAAGGCTGCTAGGCCAGTTTCACAGGAACCCACAGAGGGAGATTTCCATGCCTTACCACAAGCCAGAATAAGAAAGTGTAAATCTCACTTGTTGACAACTGGGCTCAAGCAGCCACAGAGATGGTAAACATGTGTGAGGGAAAATCTGCCCCCTCTTGACTAGGAGTACAGTCCTACCTCGGGTTGAAGTAGCTTCGGAATAAGTATTTTCGGGTTGCGCACTGCAGCGACTTGGAAGTAAGGGAGTGCCTTACTTCTGGGTTTCGCCACTCGCGCAGACGGTCAAAATGACGTCACGTGCATCCGCAGAAGCGGCGAATCACGCTTTGACGCAGGTTGCATTTGCTTCTGGATGTGAACGGGGCTCCGGAACGGATCCCGTTCGCATCCAGAGGTACCACTGCCTGCCTATTAGCTATGATTTGGGGCTTTCACTTATCCACACAACTAGTCCATGTAACAACTCTACTTCCTTGTCAAATCACCCACCTTGTGTCAGAAGGGGGCAGAAATCATGGTAGCAACTAAGTAGATGCTTTGCTTGGAGCCCATAGCAAAGTAAATGTGAGCTTGCACCTGCACTTGGCACTCATGGTAGCCAGATTTTGTAGTAGTGTTAATGCAGCATCCATGCACTGTCCTCCACTCTTGCAAGATGGAGGGTCAATATTGAAGGATAACTGCTTTTGTATACCAGTATTCTCCTGGTTATACAGAAATTTTCCTCTGGAGCGGTGGTGGCCTCATTTTGCTTCCAAACTCATTGGGAGGAAGCTATTGACTTTGTTTTTAAACGAAATGATATTGAAGCTCAGTTAAGGTAAGTGAAGATGCTGGGCCAATGGCAACAGTGATGTATGAAACCTAGGAGGCAGGGCTGAAATCTCCCTCTTCACATATGTTTACACAAAAGTTACAAAATTAACCCCCCCCCCTTATTGTCCATGCTGCTCCTCCTTTAAACACATCTTCCCCCTCTCTTTTGTCCTGTTCATCTTACAGGAAATCTGCCATGTATGTTGTGTGTCAAATATGTAGCACTGTAGCATTGTGAAATGTTGAACAGAATGATAATAGTTATCACACAAGATGCCTATTAAGGAGCACAGTGTTATACTTAGCACTCTGTGTAAGGCCTATGGGGGACCAATTCATGTAATACTTCATGATGTAATACTTCAATAGTACTGTTACCCAAGGCGTTACGACAATAGTACAGTATGTCTTTGTTCAAATGCTATCCCTGCAAATTAGTTTCCTGTGAACAGTGAGACTCTGCATGCTTAAATAATACAGTATACATACATTATTTTGAATAGTCCTTTCAAAGGATAGAACAGCATACTCCACATACAATGCTTTTTCTGCCACCCCTCCCCCCCAACAAAAATGCTGCCAGTTAGGGTTGTCTGCTGAAATAAGGAGAGAGGCAGTTCCATCTAGATTTTGGGAGGGGAGGATACCAGAGTGGCAAAAGCTGTGTTTTTTCCTGGTATTCTAATTCCATTTATTTAAAAGAAAACAATAGAAAAGAAAGAACATTTTCAATTGCAGTGTCCTGATTTTTGAACATTTCATCCAGAGGGGTTTGCTTGGTACCTTCTGTGAAATCATACTGATGCCAGGCAAATACTTTATTTCCCCAGGATTTTTGGCTGAACTGTTTTCCAGATTCTTTTGTTTTATCCTTTTGCTGTTTTCATAGGCCTACTGCTTTTACCACTTTTATATATGTTTTTAATTTTATTGTGTATTTTATTGCTTTATGTAAGCCACCTCAGGTGAAGCATGTGGTGTAAATTCTAGTAATAAAAAATAAAAACCATCACTTCACTGATGGTGGCAAGCAGTAATGTCATGATGAAAACAAAAAATGAAGGACCAAGGAAGAGTCATCCTAGTTTGCTGGATCATTTCACTCAAAGTCTAGCTCACTGGGACCGGCTCAAAGCCAGCATACCTCCTCTCTTTCTTGCCCACCCAGGGCAGATGAGAAGCAGACAGCACAGCCATAGCAGCAGAGGCGGAGGAAGGGGTGTGTGGTGGGTGCGGGCTGCCCCAGGTGTCACCACTGAGGGGGGTGACAAAATGTTGGGTGGCACTCACTGCAGGGCCTGCAGCGCGCCCAAGCCACACGCCTCTCCTAGCAGAGTCAAAACAGCCCGCCCACTGCCTCCCCCCCCCAGCTGTAAGGCGGCTGAGTGGGAGGAGGCAGGCAGACTCTGGAGGCCCCGCGGTGCGCCCTGCCCCTATGGGCACTGCGCGCAAGTGCCTGGGCAGGTTCCTCCACCGCTGCATAGCAGTGAACATTACAGCCCACAGAAAGTATAACACAGGAGTGGTTATGTCTCTGTTAGACTCTGTCTCTGTGAAGGGAAACAGCAGCAGAATATAAGTCTGGATCTTGTTGCCCTTGTCTATGTATGTGCGTGAAGAGTGAGAAAATGTTTATTCCCTCCCCCCTGGCTGGCATGCTTCATGTCTTGCCTATGCATTGCATGCGTGTGACTGACATAGCCTATGGTTTGGCTCTCTTTCTTGAGTTATCTGTTCTGCAAATATGTTATTTTCTTTTTAATAATAATAATTATTATTTATTTATACTCCACCCATCTTGAAATGTCATCTGAAAATTGTGTTGTTTATGGGGCCTGATCTGATGATACTGCTTGGTGGCTAGAAACTTGTATTAACTATATACGTGGATGAACGAAACATTTTCTACAAGCTCTGCTCCTGGGTGTAGAGTCTTCACCTGCCACACTTTTATTTCAGGTGTCGACCACCATATTTGGACAACCATTACTTAGTTAAATGTAAACACTTCCCTGTTTCTAGTCGTAACTATAAACAGAACGTGTAATGAGAGCTGGGTCATACAATAGCTGTTTTTGCATGAGAGCTTCCCTAAGACGGCCCGCCCTCTCTCCCTCTCCCTCTGAATGTTTATAACTGTGTCTGTGTTCTGCTGCTCTCCTTTGCTCTGCTTCTTGCCCATCCTCTCTCCCTTCCCCCTTCCCGTGTTGGCCTGCCAGCCAGTTAATCATTCATCAGCATGATAATTTACCTGTTTTTATTGGTTGCTAAGATCTGATTTTGAAAGGGAAAAATACTTTTGAAATGTGAAGAAGAGAGAGATGTTTTCCTACCTTCAAGCACTTTTCCCTGGATACAAATGTTTTCATGCAACAGACCTATCTTGTGAATTACAGATGAAATGTTTTCAAGTGGAAGACCCAAGTCAGGGAAACATCTCCTATGGGCTGCTGATAAAGATGAGGAGGCACACTGAAGAAAAAAAGAAAAAGTGGGAGAACTAAGGACTTTTAACTTTTTATTTAAAGGGAGGGTGACATATTGGGGAACATGTGACGCGAGGCCCCTCTTATTGTCAGAACCCCAATCTGCGGGCAAAACACATACAATGATTGCCCGTATTTACAAAAGTTGTACCTTTAATCCCCAAAAATAAAACATCGGGATTGCAACACTGAAAAGCTACGTTGAGAAAGTCAGCACATGAAAACTCCCAGCAGTCTCTTCTGCCCCGCCTCTCCCCCTTCTGAGCTTTGGAGATTTTATTGCTGTGCTTTTCCTCCCTGCCTCCCTCCTTCTCTGCCTTATCCCCCACCCCCACGCATAGGCTCTTGGAAAAAAATCCTCCAGCCTGACTAGAAAATCAGCCTTGTTTCCTCAGAAACCGCAGCTGCTGCTAGCAGAAAACACGTCAGGCTGGCCCTCCAACACGCACAGATGTGCCTTTGTAAATCCATATAAATGCTGAGAAGGATTGCGTGCTGAGGGCAAATATCCTCCCCTCAGAGGATGGGGCCAATGCAAATAGCAGGCCATTTCTCTTTTCTTAAAGGCAACCCCTCTCTCCACTTCACTCAGTTTTCCCTTTAATTGTTGTTTGTTGCATTAGGGTTAGGGTGATCTTTTTAAGTTTAACCCCTCTATAAATCTGGGAGTCACGCACATATAAAAGCGATGGCAACTACTTCACTCCCACACCTCGCCAGCTTTGTTCTTCCCTCACAGGCATCAGTGAGTTGCAGTGTGGTTTGTTTTTCTTTCCCTCTCATTTTTTTTAAAAAAACCAAATCGTCTGTCTTTACATTAAAAAAAAATAAACCACATCTGAAGATGAATTCTGCTGTTCACGGAGGGCACATCCAAACAGAGGGGATGAGAGAGGAAGGGAGCAGAGAGGCATTTCTTTCAAAAGTTTCTGCTGACATAGGAGGATGCTTAAAATAAAAATGTTGCTTTAAAATTTACTGCGAGGCAAGGAGCGTTGTTTATCGTGCCATCTTTTAAGCACACAAATCCACCCTCATCTGTTTCTCTCTCCCCCCCCTCCTATTCCCATCCCTCTCAGAGTCTTTCTTTCTCTTCTTCTTCTCTTCCCCCTCCCCCTTTTAATATAACTTCCAGGCGGATGAGTTGCAACTCGTTCTGCGTAATTAAAATGAGTGGATGATGGTTGAAAGAGGATGGAAAATAAGATGGGGGGAGGAGAGGGAGGGAGGGAGGCTGGCTGGCTGGCTGGCTGAGGGAGGAAGCTATAAGAGCATTGGAGCGCTACTGCTGAAGCAGACAAAAACAGGTCTGGTTGCTCTGCCGAGGGGGATGGGGCGGCTCCCTGCCATTGGCTCTTTTCTAGGCTCCAGAGCAGCTGTGGGAGCAGAGCGCAGGATGGCAGTTACTGCTTAGGCACTTTGGTTCCATTTGTTTAATAGCTGCTAGTCTGAGCCAAATGCAGCCTCATCAACCTTGACTGGCGGGAAAACCGACTCAGGGCATTTTTGTGTCTTCCTCTAAAGCAGAGCTCTGCCTACGCCTGCAAACTTTGCTTTTCTTCTGCGTCTCATTGTTGCTCGCTCCTTTCTGCTGGGTCCAGTTTTACAGGGTGAGGGTTTTTATACAGCCTGTTTTCCGATAATGTCCATGAGGATCTCTCTCTCTTCTTGAGAGAAAACACACACACACACACACAACACCAGGAAATACTGTGCATTGCTTGTAACCAGTTGACTATATAAACTGTGTTTGTCTCTTCTGTTTCTTTGGTAAACCATCCGAGTGTAAAGGCTTGCTAGTCACCCTGGGTAGAACTTTTATTTCCTTTTGAGTTGAGTGTTACCTTTCTTTGATTCAAACTCTTTTTATTCTAGCCTTTTTAAAGTATTAAAAGTCATCCTTTTAATAATGGGGTGAAGGGATGTGAGCCAAAGGCCTGTGTTCTGAGATAGAAAATTGTAGTAATTGTGTACCATGAACTTTGTATACTGCTTAAAAGTAAAAACCTCTAAGCAGCTTACATAAAAACATACACTGAAAATAGTGTCAGTATGTGCTATAGTTTCCTGTGCAGGGTTGGAGAACTTTATATTTGTAACCTGCTTATGCAGAAGTTGTGAATGCATATGAACCTTCCTTCTTATATCATCCAATAAAATCTAGACAGGGCACAGACAAAAATATAAAAACATCTATTACACATCTAATCTAGAAGTGAAACTAGGGTATATGCTTCTGTGCTTGTTTATTCTCACCATACGCTTTTAAAAAAAGGATTTTATCACTTTGGCAAGAGACTTTGATGGGCATTTTTTTCTATTTTTTGCTTTCACAAACTATTTCCTATTGATGAGAAACCTGTGAGTTTCATTCCAAAATCTTTTTAAATATATTATTTTATTCTATCTATCTATCTATCTATCTATCTTAGAACAAACAAATCCAAACTACACAACAGTTCCTATGCATCCCTGGTATTTCTCTTCCACCGTCCCCACCTCTAATATCATCAGGTTAATTTGCACAATTTCTCTATATATATTTTCAGTGGTACCGATAAATTGGCACAAGTTTATAAGTTGTAGTCTACAGAGTCTCTGAATTTTTAATTAAAGAGGCAATCTTATACTCTTCTCTCCCTTTCTCTTCCTGTGGGTAGGATTAAATACCTCTGGTGATGAAATATCTAGTACAGAAACTAAACATATTTGCCCCTTGATGAAAAGTGTATTTCTGAGGATTTGGGGGTGGTTGTATTTAAATAAAACTTTCCACTTGTACTTCCCCTCCCCCATATTATTATTGTACTGCTAGGCTGACACCCACTGGTAACAGTTGGTCTGAGATCACTGCTGCAGACTAAGCCTCCTGAGCACAAATACTATTCTGTTGATAACTGATTAAAAAACAAGCAAAATGCATAAAAAATAATTTAAGAAAAAAGTAACTTATTTTATTTCTGGTATAAGCGAATGCATGGGGGAAGACTTTGAGTTGCAATTTTAGTGAGAAAATGGATTGTATTCTTTTGAGCAATACTCTACTATAGAAGCTACAGGGAGGGAGACAGAACTAATTGCCACCATATTTGGACATATATTTGTAGTGGTAGTGATTTAAATTACATTAAAGTAACAGTGCTTGAAACTCCCATTGTTCTAGGTGCATTTTGTGACAGGGAATTTTATTAGCATGAGCAGTTTCTGAGCTCTGGGTGCAGTACTGCGCCTAAGAATTCAGATTAAAACTGCAGAGTGGAAGGAAAGAAGGACCTTTTTCTGCCTCCCCACTTCCAGCTACTCTCTGAAGACTGGAGAAGAGACCCTCTTAAAAATATTGGGGGGGGGCAGGGGAAGGACTAGACCATGTGAAAAATGAACATATTTTAGCTGCATTCATTCATTTTCAGCTTTGTATTCTTGTTATAAAAAAGTGTGCCTAGACATTCATTTGTTGCGCCTATAACCTAGGTTTAAGGTTCTATTTAGCGCCTAGCTTTCATATCTCAGTTTCTGACACTGTAAAGTAATCATAAGAACTTCTGCTTGCATAGGTCATTTTAAGTGGGAGGTAATGAGACGCGGGTGGCGCTGTGGTCTAAACCACAGAGCCTAGGGCTTGCCAATCAGAAGGTCAGCAGTTTGAATCCCTGCGACACAGTGAGCTCCCGTTGTTCGGTCCCTGCTCCTGTCCACCTAGCAGTTCGAAAGCACGTCAAAGTGCAAGGAGATAAATAGGTACCGCACCGGCAGGAAGGTAAACAGCGTTTGCGTGCGCTGTTCTGGTTTGCCAGAAGTGGCTTAGTCATGCTGGCCACATGACCCGGAAGCTGTCTTCCTTCCTGCTGGAGCAGTACCTATTTATCTACTTGCACTTTGACGTGCTTTCGAACTGCTAGGTTGGCAGGAGCAGGGACTAAGCAATGGGAGCTCACCCAGTCGCGGGGATTCGAACCGCCGACCATCTGATCGGCAAGCCCTAGGCTCTGTGGTCTAACCCACAGCGCCACCCGCGTCAGATCTACTCTTAAGGATGACTTAAGTCTGAATCTACCCAGTAGAGCAGTGACTCCTAAATTCTCTCTCTCTCTCCAACCCCCCCCCCCCCCATCAACTGAAAATTGCTGAAGGTCAGCAGACTACTTAATGGTTTTTCTGACTGTTGTACCAATTGTAATGTGTTGGCTTCCACTCCATAGATTTCAATGCTAGCTGTAGTACTCTGAATGAACTAAAAAAAAAAGTGTTTATGTTTTGGGGGCAGAACCATGTTGGGATTCCCCTGCTTAGGCTAAAATGGTTTGTGGAAAGGCTTATGATAACACAGTTATTTGTAAACTCATTGAAAGACCAATTACAGCAAAATTTATCAATGACTAGCTTCGCCTTGCTTTGAACTACACATTCTACATTTGAAAGAACCAACTTCTTCTGAAAAGAAGTGTGTGCTACATTTGTATGCATGAAATGGGCTCTAGAAAACATGAAAGTGTTGAAAAGCTCTTCCAAGTCTGGATAGTTTAGAGATTAAAGCACTAGCCTTTCACCTTTGAGGGTACACTTTGAGTATTTCCTCAAAGCCCATGTAAAATGAGCTGCATCGTCTAAGTTCAGTTTTTGGCGTTTCTACTCCAGAGTAGAGAACTGATGCAGACTTCATAATTGGAGGATATAGATTCAGTTGTGGGGCTTGGAAAATTTCTAGGGTGTATTGTGAAGTGTTTACACTTCCATTAGCTTTATGGATTTTTACATATGTAGAGAGAAAAAGTAATGAAACATTCTCTCTACAGAGATCACTAGAACTGCTGCTCTTCACATTGGGTAATCTCATGTGCATGTCTGAGCCTGTATTTTAGAGCTTTATGTTAATATGTACGCCAGCATTTATTAGTTATCTGTTTGCTTGCATCTCATTAGACTTGGGGGATATAGGTGTTTAAAAAGAGGTGCATTTCTCTAAGTTTTTAAGTTTTAAAAACATATTTTAGTGCTTTTCAGACATTGGGTACTGCTGTTTTCCCTGTAGTTAGTTTTATTCAGGTTCTAGTCTGATGCTGTTTTAACTTTTTTCGTGCTGAATTGTTATATTTTTTCCTACTCTGCCCAGAACCTTTTGTTAATGGGTAGTATAAAAATGCTGTTGAAAAATAAATAAGGGTGGGTTCAGCTAATGAGTCCCACCAATGGAAGATGCACACACTTGCTTAACAGGACTCCCCCCCCCTTCCATTCATGCCCCTTGAAATTGGCTCAAGTTCTGGAGAGAGCAATTGTTCACCTAACCTGCATGACTTGACTCGCTTGTTGAATCACCAAAAACTCTGCTTATTCTGCTGAAATTTCTCTAAACTGCACTTGTTGTCATAGGAACATACAAAGCTATAGTATACCAAATCAGACAATTGGTCCATATATCTCAGTGTTGTTCAAACTGACTGGCAGTGGCTCTCCTTTCTGTACGCAAAGCAAATACTCTGCCACTGAGTTGTAGCCTCCCCCATTTCCCCTGTAGTGTAGTGAATTGATTTCTAGCTTCATAGTTGGAGATGATAAGTTATGGGGCTGGAAAGGATCTATATTGTGAACAGTTTAAGCATTCACTGACCATGTTTAGACGTGACACTAAACCATACTTTAGTGTACCATGTATGGACCTAGCAAGTCTGGGGCTTGTATGCTTCCCTCTCCTCCAGCATGGCCTTGATTGAGTAGGACACTAGAAGCTCTTGCTTCTGTTTTTGATTAACCACAGTTTACTGTTAGGTCTGAACTCTAAACTGTGATTAGTCTTAATTAAAGTAACCTGTATCCTTTGAAGCTACTGTCGTGACTTATAGGTATTCATGGTTTGTAGTTTGCTTTTTTCAAATCATTAACCTGTGGTTAAGCAAAAATGGAAGCAGAAGCTTCTAAACACCTCCTCCCAACTGTGCCAAGTGTTCCTGGGCAGCTATATTCTAACCCTTATACCACATCACTCTCCACTTCATACAGTGCTTGTGGACTGATGGGGGCGGGGACTGCAACCTGGTTTTCCAATACAGTACTGATTATCTATATTGGGAAAAGAGGTAATGGTTGTTAGTTGCAGATTAGGGAGTTTAGCATGTTTCGCCTTCAAACCTTAAGGCCTGCCTCTCTCAATACGAACCTACCCAGACCCTACAATAATCATCTGAGGCCCTTTTTGTGTGCCTCCTCCACAAGAGAGGCCTGTAGGGTGGCAACATGAGAG